TAGAATGTGTGTTCCCCCTGTTTAACCTTCCCCTTTCTGTAGTTTTGACCGAAAACCCTGCAAAATACCTTTTGACCACCCGGGGGCACTTCATTTAGAACGTTTACTTAGAACGCTAACAAGGTGTAAAAAACCGCAGACCTCAAGGGAACGAGTGGCGCATGCTTCCCCTGGAAGGCCGCCAGTTCGTATTACCAAACGCCCACCAGGGGGAGCATTTGTCTCCCGAACCGTGCCTGACCACCCCGATACTCCAATTAGAACCTTTAGTTAGAATGTTCACAATTTACTAACAAGGGGTGAAAAACGCAGACCACAAGGGAAAGAGTGGCGCGTGCTTCCCCTGGGTGGCCGCTGGTTCCTATCACCGAACGCCCCAGAGGGAGCATTCGACTACCAAACCGGCCTGCGTACACTGTCTTCGATCCCGGTGTCAGGGATCATCCTACCTACTCCTCAACGGAGCTATAATCACTCATCTCTTTCCCCTACCTGGGAGCTACGAGGCTAGGCTCGTGGCTGCCCAGGAGAGCGCTGTCTCCAGTGGATACCTGCAAGGGGATATCCACCGTAGAGAGGGACTCACACCACTCACACCTCTGGGGCTTTGAGTCGGTCTCACGGCCGCAGAGTTTCCGCTGGCCGCATGGAAGTCCGTGCCAACAAATGGGAGAAGGAGCGCCCATTCAAACTAGGTTCACGCCATTCTCCTGGTTGGTCGACACAAGTAAAATGCTCATTGGTCGCCGCAGGGAGTGGGCGACCAGTTAGAGAAGTAGCGCGGTTCAAACGGGGGTTTTGCGCCCTTTCTTCTGTTTGGGTGGCGAAGCCCCTCTCAACTCCGAGCACTGATTGGTGCAGCCGAGTTTTGCGCCCTTTCAGCTGATTGGTTGTTGCTTGGTTTAGGTGCGAAGTTTGAATTCGCTGGACTAAACCAAGCAACACCATGGAGCTAATTTCGGGGATGTACAGACCCTCGAGCCCCAGACTTTTGACGCTGATATCTCGGGCTCTGTACATCCGATCGCCCCGCTTTTTTGCAGGAATCCTAGGTGGGACCAGGGGCTATTCAACACTATAATTTTAACCGTGTACTCCATTCCTGTCCCTGGGCGCCAAGTCACAAAGTTAACCCCCCTGTATGTAATGTGTATTTATGTGTTCTGTTAGTATCTCCCAGAGTGGGAGAAAGTTATTTGTCACCCTGCCCCCTCCTGCTTGGTTTGTGTGTTGTGTGGATGGAGACCCCCTGAGGGGGTCTGTGCATAAAAAAAAAAAGAAAAAAAGAAAAAAGATTGTCAAAGGTTGTATCCTGGAACTGTGTCCCATCCAGTTAATGGAGAAATGGGTCTGACCTATCCTAACAAAAGGGGATAACCAGCCAGGTTACTCCAGGTCCCGCTACATATTTATTGAGAGCTTAGAGTTTTTATTTTCTTGAAAGTTTCAGGAGAGGAATCAGGGTGCGGGGAGGGAAAGCTGTTCACAGTTTAATTGATATGCTTTCCTAAAGAAGTAAGTTTTCAAATATTTTTTGAAGGAGTGGAGATTGGGTGAAAGTCTAACAGATAGGGGAAGGGTGTTCCATAGGAACGGTGCAGCCCTAGAGAAGTCTTTAAGGTGAGCATCAGAGGTAGGAGTACAAACAGAGGTTAGACGAAGGTCTCCGGCAGAGCGTAGGGGCCTAGATGGGACATATTTGTGTATTAGTGAGGATAAGTAGGTTGAAACAGCATTGTGTAGAGACTTATAAACTAGTGTCAGGATCTTAAATTGAGTCCTATATCTTACGGGAAGCCAATATAGGGACTAACAAAGGGCAGTGGCATGGGAGGTGCTGGCGGATAGGAAGATGAGCCCTTCCACCGCATTCATTATAGTCTGTAGCGGGGCAAGTTGGCAACACTGAAAAGCGGATTACAGTAGTCAAGACAAGAGAGGACAGCTGCATAGACAAGTACCTTTGCCGTATCAGGCTATAATAGGGTCGGATGCACGCAATGTTTTTGAGATGGGAGGATTTGGTGATTGATTGGACATAAGAGGTTGGAGTCAAAGAGAACATCTAGGCAACAAGCATTAGAGGTAGAGCGGATGGTATTGAATCCACTGATGGTATTTGAATTGGAGGGACACAGACAAGGGAGTAGCAACACTTGAGGGAGGGAAGACCAGAAGTTCTGTTTTGGACAGGTTAAGTTTAAGGAAATGAGCAGCCATCCAGTTGGAAATAGCAGATAGGCAGTTAGAAACACAAGTCAAGAGGGGTGGTGAGAAATCAGGGGAGGACAGATAAATTTGCGTGCCATCTACATAGAAAGGATACTGGAAGCCGAAGGGGCTGATGAGTTTACCAAGGGAGGCAGTGTAGATTGAGAGCAATAGGAGAATACCAACAGAGAGGGATTGGGGAGAAGAGGCAGTGCCAGAGAAAGAGACAGTGAGTGAATGCTGGGAGAGGTAGGAAGAGGACCAGGAGAGAGCGGTGTCTCTTAGACCGAGATTACGGAGGATGATCAATAGTGTCAAAAGCAGCAGGTCGAGGCCATGAGAAAAGTAATGGCCATGCGATTTAGCAGTGACAAGATCATTGTGTACTTTGGTCACAGATGTTTTAACAGAGTGACGAGCGCAGAATCCAGAATGAAGCGGGTCACGCAGAGAGTTAGATTTGAGGAAGTTTGTCAATCTCGCATACACGACTCTCTCAAGGATCTTGAAGACAAACGGCAGTAGCGAGATAGGGCAGTAGCATGTTTGAAGGGTAGAGGAAGTGTGGAAGGGAGAGCAAGAGAAGGAGACAAAGTGTGGATGAGTTACGAGGCAATAGGATTGAGGGAACAGGTGGTGGGGCGGGAGGAATGGAGCAGAGCAGAAACCTCTCATTTGCGAGTGCAAATGAGCATAGGACAACTGAGGGAGTGTGGTTAGGGGAAAAGTTTGTAGTGGATGGAGAGAGATGAGAGATCTCTTCCCTGGTTAAAGAAATCTTCTCAGTGAAGCGAGTTGCAAAGTTTGTAGCTGTCAAGTTGGTACTGGAAGGAGGCACGACAGGGCAAAGAAGAGAGTTAAAAGCAAGAAACAGTCATTTGGGCTCACATGAGAGTGTGGTTATGAGTGTATTCAAGTAGTTTTCTTTTGAAGAGGAACAAGCTAGACTGTAGGAGCGCAGAATAAATTTATAGTTGAGGAAGTCAGACGCAGAGTGAGACTTTCTCCAGCAGCATTCAGTAGTTCTGGAACATTTTTGAAGGTATACAAACTATACAAACTAACTATACAAACATGTATTCCTGACCCTATAGTGTTAAAATCACAATTTAGCCCCCTGGGCCCCTCATGCCTCCCTAAATATAGCAAAATCTTACTTGTATTCAAGCCTGATGCTATAGCTCTGCATGCTGTTTGCCTCAGAAAAACAAACTGTCTGCTGACATCATCAGAAGTGTGGCCTGATCCAATCACAGTGCTTCCCCATAGGATTGGCTGAGACTGTCAAGGAGGCAGATCGGGGCAGAGCAAGCATAATTCAAACACAGCCCTGGCCAATCAGCATCTCCTCATAGACATGAATTGATCCAATTAATCTCTATGATGAAAGTACAGTGTCTGTATGCAGAGGGAGGAGACACTGCGTGTTTGGATGCATTTTAGGCAGCCATGACCCAGGGAGGATCTCTAACAGCCATCTGAGGATTGGCCACTGAAGTTATCACTAGGCTGTAATGTAAACACTGCATTTTCTCTGAAAATAGTGTTTACAGCAAATAGCCTGAAGGTAAGGATTCTACTGACCAGAACAAATTCAATAAGCTGTAGTTCTTCTGGTGACTATAGTGTAGGATGTGCAATGATGTCTAGTTGAGATGAGAGAGTGGAGTTGAAGAGGGAGGTTGCAGTGTTAGGGCAGGTGAGATTTGTAAAATGAAAACTTTAGGGGTTGGTGGAGAATTGCTGTAGGTCAAGACAATGGAGGTTTCTGCAAGACTGAACTGGTGAGGGTGGTGTACTTTGGGTATGGGGTATGCGGATGTCAATGGACAGCAGATGAGGAATAGATGAAATGGAGCATTGGAGAGATTAGAGGTGATACAGAGATTGGTGAAGATTAGGTCAAGAGTAGAGTAGAGCGGACACCTGGATGTTCGGGTTCGCCGGGTTCAGCCGAACATCGGCAAAAAGTTAGAACTTGACCTCGAACTTCATTGAAGTCAATGGGGACCCGAACTTTTGGGCTTTAAAATGGCTCTAAAAAAGTCCTGGAAAGGGCTAGAGGGCTGCAAAATTAAGTAAAATGGGGGTAAGAGTAGGACAAGTGCCCTGCAAACAATAGCTGTAGCCCCCAAAATATTGGGACATATAAAAAAAGAAAACAAAGAATACGTGCACTTGAGTATAACAATGGCTGGGTGAGGCTGATATAAATGTTTATTCTGCACAAGGTACAGACAAGTCTGGTGGGATCCATGTCTGGCTCATTTTAATAAACCTGAGCTTGTCTGTAATAATGCCCCCTGCCGTGCTAAACACACGTTCAGACATTACACTGGCTGCAGGGCAGGCCAGCACCTGCCACGCCATAAAAGGCAAGCTCAGGCCATGTGCCCAATTTGGAGACCCAGAAGTTGAATGAGGCAGACCCATCAGTCAGTACGTGTAGGCGTGTGCACACGTATTGTTCCACCATGTTGCTGAAATGCTGCCTCCTGCTAAGACTTTTCATATCAGCTGGTGGTGCTGGTTGTTGTGGCGTGCTGACAAAGCTTTTCTACATTTCACCATGCTAACCCTGCCTTCTGAGGTGCTGGCGGTGCCCCAGCTGCGTTGGCAACCTCTTCTTCCTCCTCTGCCTTCGCCTTGTGCTTCCAGTGAGCCCACGGTGTCAGTTGGGAATGCCCTCAGCAGTGGGTCTACCAGTGTGCACTTGTGGTCGCGCATCTTCGGATCACACTCCAGTGAGGGAATTAAGGATGGCACGTTGTCCTTGTAATGGGGATGCAGCAGGGTGGCCACCCAGTAACCAGCACAAGTTAGAATGTGGGCAACTCGGCAGTCAACTCGGCCCTTTCAACTTTCGATGGTACTTTCTGTGCCTACCATGGTGACCATGGGTAACGGGGAATCAGGGTTCGATTCCGGAGTGGAAGCCTGAGAAATGGCTACCACATCCAAGGAAGGCAGCAGGCGTGCAAATTACCACTCCCGACGCGGGGAGGTAGTGACGAAAAATAACAATACAGGACTCTTTCGAGGCCCTGTAATTGGAAGGAGTACACTTTAAATCCTTTAACAAGGATCTATTGGAGGGCAAGTCTGGTGCAGAGCGACTGACCCATGCGTGCTGCAGCTGAAACTACACTATCGCCTGCTGCTGCTCGCACAGTCTCTCCAGCATGTGCAAGGTGGAGTTCCAACTTGTGGGCACGTCACATATGAGGCGGTGAGCGGGAAGGCCGAAGTTACGCTTCAGCGCAGACAGGAGAGCAGTAGCAGGGTGAGAACATCAAAAGCGCACACAGACGGCCCGCACTTTCTGCAGCAACTCTGATATATCTGGGTAGTTTTTCAGGAATTTCTGCACCACCAAATTCAGCACATGCGCCAGGCATGGGATGTGCATCAAACTGGCTAGGCCCAGAGCTGCTACGAGATTTCGCCCATGATCGCACACCACCATGCCGGGCAGTGACAACAACCACTCATCGGTCTGTTGTTCCATGCCCGTCCACAGCTCATGCGCGGTGTGGGGTTTTTCCCCCAAACATATCAGTTTTAAAACAGCCTGCTGTCATTTCTCCCTGGCTGTGATGAAGTTGGTGGTGAAGGTGTTCCGGATGAGGAGGTGGTAGAAGAGGAGGAAGCAGAGTAGGAGGAGGAGACAACAGGAGGTAAAGAGAAATGCCCTGCAATCCTCGGTGGCGGAAGGACATGCGCCAAACTGATATCTGCCTCAGGCCCAGCCGCCACTACATTTGCCCAGTGTGCAGTTAGGGAGATATAGCGTCCCTGCCCTTGCTTACTGGTCCACGTATCAGTGGTTATGTGGACCTTGCCACAGATGGCGTTGCGCAGTGCACACCTGATTTTGTCGCCAATTGGTTGTGCAGGGAAGGGATGCCTCACCTGGAAAAGTTGTGGCGGCTGGGAACCACGAACTGTGGGACAGCCACCGCCATCAGGTTTTTAAAACTGTCTGTCTCCACCATACTGAGTGACAGCATTTCAAAGGCCAGGAATTTTTAAATGCTAGCATTCAGGGCCAGGGATCGCGGGTGAGTAGGGGGGTACTTCTTCTTTCTCTCCAGTATTTGGGAGATGGACAGCCTAACGTCCATGGACAGTGTGGAGATGGTTGGGGACGGTGGCGGACGTGGTGGTGTTGCTGCCACATCCTCTGTTTGCTGGGTGGCAGGTGCCACTGTCACTCCAGAGATGGAGGAACTGGCCGAGACAGCAGCAGAAGAGGAAGCAGGAGGAGCCTGGGACCTTTCTTGGTTTTTGAGGTGCTTACTCCAATGCAGCTCATGCTTTGCATGTAGATGCCTGGTCATGCAGGTTGTGCTCAGGTTTATAACGTTTAATGTCTCACTTCAGGCTCTGATTGCACAGCGTGCAAACCACTCGTGTCTTGTCGTCAGCACATTGTCTGAAGACCTGCCTTTGGTGGTGCAGAAATTCCTGAAAAACTACCCAGATATATCAGAGTTGCTGCAGAAAGTGCGGGCCGTCTGTGTGCACTTTCGACGTTCTCACCCTGCTGCTGCTCTCCTGTCTGCGCTGCAGCGTAACTTCGGCCTTCCCGCTCACCGCCTCATATGCGACATGCCCACAAGTTGGAACTCCTTGGAGCTGGCTTTCATGTGCTCGGTCCATGGGTGTGGTGGGCAGTAGCAGGCGTAGTATCTAGGGGGTGGCCGCTCCACTTTTGCACCTTGCTACCTCTTATGCTGTGCTGGTACCTCTGTGCGACCACCGCCTCTTCCTCCAAACTGGACACGTCACTCGCATGACCTTGATTCCATGTGGGGACTAGGATCTCATCACCCTCCACATCATCTTCCACCCACTGCTCAGCCCTGCCCTCCTTGCCGGTCTGCACACTGCAGAAAGCCACAGCAGTTGGCACCTGTCTTTCGTCATCATCAGAGACGTGCTGCGGTGGTCCTCGCATGTCCACATCCTGACACATAAGTGGTTGTGCTTCTTCCACTTCTAGGGCAGGGCTAGGTGGATGGCCCACAGAAACCCCGCCAGCAGCGTCATCAAAAAGCATAAGAGACTGCTGCATGACTTGTGGCTCAGACTGCTTGGCTGATTTGCAAGGGGCTGAGGTGAAAGACAGATGGTCATGGGCTGCAGGTGCCAACTCTGAGCTTTCAGCAGGGGACCGGGTGGGAGACAATGTGAAGGAACTGGAGGCACTGTCAGCCATCCAATCTACTATCGCCTGTACTTGTTCTGGCATCACCATTCGTAGAGCGGCATTCAGGCCTACCAAAAACCGCTGAAGGTTCTGTCGCCTACTCGCACCTGAGTGTTTCACTTGTGCGTGTAGCTGGCACAGATCGACCACGTCCTCTTCCTGCAACAGGAGCTCCACCAACACCAGCAGCACCACGACAAGGGCCACGTCCCTTATTTGATGCTCTCCTCATTCTTTGCATTCACCCACCAAACTAAGAGATGGTTTATGTCAGGCGACAATGTAACCGCCAATAGTCAACAATTAAGTTCACTGACAGTAAGGCAGTGCCGGTGTCCTAAAGAGAAAAAAAATTCTAGAGGTCACACAACAGTGTGACAGGTGTAATTAATACAGTTACTTCACTGTCTCAAAAAAGTGTGATTTTTTTTTTTAAACCAACAATGTAACAGTAGTATTTAAGGGTTTTATTGGACTGCAAGAAATGCACAGCAGGCCGCAAATGTTCTATTTAGCACAAAAAAGTGTGATTTTTTTAAACCAATAATGTAAGAGTAGTATTTAAGGGTTTTATTGGACTGCAAGAAATGCACCGCAGGCCACAAATGTATTGTTTAGCACCAAAAAAATTGTAATTTGTCAAAGTGCGAGGTAACCACAGTATTTGAAGGTTCTATCTGACTATTAGATATGAAGTGCAAGCCACAAATTTACCTTTTAGCACCAAAGAAATGTGAATTTTTCTAAGTGCGATGTAACCACAGTATTTGACGTTTCTATTTGACTCTCATATATGAAGTGCACACCCCAAATTTACTTTTTAGCACCAAAAAAAATTGAATTCGTCAAACTGCGATGTAACCACAGTATTTGACGGTTCTATTTCACTCTCATTTATGAAGTGCACGCCACAAATTTACTTTTTAGCACAAAAAAAATAGAATTTTTCAAAGTGTGATGTAACCACAGTATTTGACGGTTCTATTTGACTCTCAGATATGAAGTGGACGCCTCAAATTTACTTTTAAGCACCAAAAAAAATTAGAATTTTTCAAAGTGTGATGTAACCACAGTATTTGACAGTTTTATTTGACTCTCAGATATGAAGTGCATGCCACAAATTAACTTTTTAGCATAAAAAATATTTGCATTTTTCAAAGTGCGATGTAACCACAGAATTTGACGGTTCTATTTGACTCTCAGATATGAAGTGCATTCCCCAAATTTGCTTTTTAGCACAGCAGTATTTAAAAATGCCTAGATGTTGCCCACTGAGCTACCAGAACAGGATTAAAGTAATGTGCATGGCACGCATGCAGTTGCAGGTGCCCACCTAACAAACAGACTGATTGCTTATTTCTCTGTGGCACTGGGCTCAGGGCAAGGTACAAAAATGTAGAATAGCACCCACAAAGATAATCACTGTAGTTTGCAGATTCAACACCAGAATTCTTTCCTAATCTGTTCCTCACAGCTGCAGCATCCTCTGGGTCACATGCTGCACTGGCCAATCACAGCCATGACATTAGTAGGGTCAAACGCTTGTTGACTGGCTGCCCTGCAGCTTTTCAAAACACACCATTAAATCGCCGAACACTGAACTCGAACCCGGACTGTTATTGAAATGTCCGGGTTCGGGGTCCAAAAATTGTAATGTTCGTTACGAACATCTCTAGTCAAGACTGTTTCCTTTTCTATCAGTTGCTAAAGTAGACCACTGTGTGAGGCCGAAGGAGGAGGTTACAGAGAGCAGACGGGAGACACCAGGGCAGTTGAAGTTGTTGATTGGAATGTTAAAGTCCCCAAGTATGAGGGAAGGAGTGCTAGAGGAGAGAAAGTGGGGTAACCAGGAAGAAACATGTTCAATGAATAGCCTAGGATAACCAGGGGAGCGATAAATGATGGCAATTCTTATGGGTGGGCCAATGTGCAACATTAAATGTTGTCCAAAAGACTACCATATATATATATATATTTGTAGTCGGGGATATTAAGCCGTATCTGTAGTAGTAGGTGATGATTGATAGTTGGTTGTGGTGTGCCTGAACCAACGATCGGGTAGGCCTGAAATAATGAGGGCCGACCTAAATAGTATTTGCTGAAGGGTGTTGGTGGGTGGGGAGTCTGGATCAATCTCGGCCTTGATTTAGAGGTAGGTCTGGGTATAAATAGGCCGGTTAATCCCTCCCACAACTACAGGCTCCGCCTTAATATTTGTAGTCAGGGATATTAAGCCGTATCTGTAGTCGTAGGTGATGATTGATAGTTGGTTGTGGTGTGCCTAAACCAGTGTTTCCCAACCCAGTCCTCAAGGCAAACCTACCAGTCCAGGATTTAGGGATTACCCAGTTGTGTCTAAGGTGTTTTTACAAAGAAGAAAAAAAACACCTTAGACACAACTGTGTAATCCCTAAATCCTGGACTGGTAGGTGTGCCTTGAGGACTGGGTTGGGAAACACTGGCCTAAACCAACGATCGGGTAGGCCTGAAATAATGAGGGCAAAAAGGTTTTAATCGGAACACTTTTTTTATTTTTTTATTTTTTTTATTTGCATTTTGTAGTATCAACATACCATAGATCATCTTGTACATCAGGAAGTTGTAACCATGAAGAGGATTTGCAAAACATATATCCAGTGGTACATACATCATAAGGTTGCTACCAGTTGATACATTTGACATAGTTATAGTACAATTAACAGTACAACATTAACATAAGGGGGAAGGGGGGGGGGGAATCGAAGGTGGGGGGAGAAAAGGTGGGCATGCTCATTGAAGAGCAGGTGGTGTTGTGCCTAACCCAGTATGGATCGGGTGCTCATGAATGTCGCCTACGTCAGATTTAGATCAGTGTGGTGAGTGGCTAGGTGTCGCTGTGGAGGCGGTCTGTGCCTCTCATATTTGTGTGTTTAGGTTGCGTTGTGTTGCGG